GGAGATGGTAAGTGGACGTGATTGCTTTCATGGAATTCAATGTTGTCCTCCCCAGGAGAAAATTATATGATGATGGGCAGTCCACCACTACAAAGTCCACCATTACAGTGACCTGCTTTGGATTGGCTCCTGCAGTAACTGGAAGGGTAACTGCCCCCAGTGGATATACTTTGTCGCCTGAAAATCCCACCAGTGGTGACTTCATGAGTCGGAGCTTCTCTCGGCTAATTTTCAATGTCTCGTACGCCCTAAGAAATAGTATGTCAGCCGAGCTACCATTGTCTATCAGTATTCGTCGAACAGTGAAATTAGCAACGATCATGGAAACTACTAGAGGGTCATCATGGGGCTGGTGAATTCCCTTGTCATCTTCTTCAGAAAAGGTTATGACCGGCTCCTCAACTCGAGGTAATTTTGTTGGAGGACTTGTCATTCCAACTTCATTCACCTCTGAAAAACTCCGAATTCTCCTAGCATGAGCCCTCCGAGCCGAACTTGTCTCACCACCACCAGCGAAGCCACCCGATATAACTTTGATCTCACCCATTGGTTGGTGTTGAGGAGGGCGATCATCTCAGCCCTCCCGGGCTGGGTTGGAGCCTCCTTTTCCATTTCTAGTTGTGAATTTGCGTAAATGACCTTTACGAACAAGGTTCTCGATCTGGTTTTTGAGGTCGAAACAATCTTCTGTGTTATGTCCATGGTCCCGGTGAAACCTATAGTATTTACCTAGAGACCTCTTTGTTGGATCAGCTTTTAGCTTTGGCTGCCATTTCAATGATGCGTCATCTTGAATCTGCAGAAAGACTGGCTCTACAGATGTATTTAGGGGGTATAGTTATTATACCTGCCTGGGCTCACTGGGCAGCGAGACGATTTGTCAGCATGGTTGTTTGAGAATTTCTTGTACTTCGATTCCTTTTCCTCCCTAGTGTTAGGTGCTGGCCTTTTCTTCTCCGACCTCTTATCTTCACCATCTTTGTTTTTTCGTGCATTCATAGCATCCTCAGCGTTCATGTGCTTCCATGCTCTAACCATCAACTCTGTCATGCTTGTAGGGGCTTCTTTTGATAAGGAAAATAGGAACTTAGAAGTCTGTAGTCCTCCCATAAAGGCTGTGAGGGCAACCTTGTCGTCCACCTCTTCTACCTGCAGCATATCAGCGTTAAAACGACTTATGTAACCACGGAAAGGCTTTCCCTTCTGCTGTTTCACATTCAATAAGTGTGTTGCTGTCTCCTATGCCTCTGCCCAGCGATGAAGTGTCCAATGAATTGTTTGCTCAACTCATTAAAGATTTCAATGGAGCCTGGCTTTAATTTATTGAACCAAAGACGAGCCCAACCCTTTAGTGTGGTAGGGAAAGCCCTGCACATAATCTCATCCGGTATGACTTGCAAATACATAAGAGCTTTGTAGGTCTCTAAATGATCGAGAGGCTCCCGCGTCCCATCGAAGCTCTCAAGAGTTGGCATCTTAAATTTGCTAGGTAGAGGACAACTTATAACATAACAGCGAGGCTAAATGCTAGGTTGGTCTTCTGTACCAGATCGTTCACTGTGGCCTGGCCCTTCCCTTTCATTGCTTGCATGACGTCTTTGACCCTAGTTCTCAGATCTTGCATCTACAGATTGAAATAAGTGACGTCTTCAGTCTTGTCACCAACACAACCAAAGGTACCTGCACGGAGCCTGGTATTATTCCGTTCAAGAGACCGATGGTGATGGCTTCTCTGTTGACCCCCTATTTGACTAAGCTCAGCGTCGTTGTCAATCCTACGGGAGTCATTATTGGGTACTTCATTATTCTCCACCTCATTAAGGTCGGCTAAGCGTTGTAGAATCATTGAATTTTTCTGGACTAATTGGTTCATTCCCTTATTTAAGGTTTAAACCTATTGTTCCAACGCTGTGACGCATTCCTGATCGTTTGGGATGGCGGGGGGTTGCCTCGTCGAGTCCCTTTGATCAGAAGTTTGCAACGCTTCGTATTTGCCAGCAACCAGACCAGATCGCAATCGAACCATACTTTATTTAGAGAACTAAAATCGTTCCCATAGACGGCGCCAACTGTTGATGATGGATTCTGCGCAACCTGGATCTGATCTAACTTCCTGGACAGAGAGAAGAAAAGGTGATCCTACAAGCACCGGTGTGTTACTGGTGGAGTAGGCTCCGACGAATAAGTCAGTGTGCGAACTAATCTCTTAAGAGAAATCAAGAACTTGAGTTAGGGTTTTTTGCGTCCCTCCAAACGTTGATTACCCCGCCTTTTTTATAGGGCTTAGATTAAGATGTCACGTAGAATTACCTTATTGTAATCTGTAGACTTAATCCTCATCGTAATCTTTAATCCTTATCATAATCTTTAATCCTTATCGTAATCTGTAAAGCCTATCTCAATCTGTAATCCTTATCGTAATCTGCAGAGCCTATCTCAATAGTGCGTTAATTTAGCAATCTTCCCTTAATTATGGATATTTAAATTATACATCCATCAGTACCATGAAATGGGTATGTAATGAAGCTGTGTGTGGGTGTGTTTGATACTAGGTGGTGTGTGTGTGTTTGGTGATTGTAAGTGTAAATGGGTGTGCCCATGAGGTGATAAAATTATATATATATACACAGTATATATTATCAAATGAAGATCTATGTGGAGGTTTCCACACTTCTCCTTACTGGTGCTTGAAGTTTCTAGATATATATTATTTATTATATTAAGTTGAATTGAAGGTTTGAAATAAGTTTTTGTGGTTTGACTAGTATATGTATATATTATTATTATATTATAAAGGAGGTGATGTTTCAAGCTTTCTAGAAGGAATTAAGCTGCCAGCACATGGGTTTATAAGCTGCTAGCACAACATATACAACTACATCTATATTTATATGGATAGGTATGTGTGTCGAATATAGATTTTTTTTCCAAAAAGCTTCCTTTAGAAGCTCTTAATTGGGACAGTCTTACATGATCTATCTACTGAAGTTTGAAAAGAAAGGAAGGGAAAAACAGAGGGCAATCAGACGAAAAAGATTAAAAAGACAAAAGCGAAGAGAAGTTAAATAGAAATTCTAGTGGAGCGACTGTGCTGGTAAAGAAGTTGATATTTTTAAATTCTTTTGTAGGAGTTTTTTATTTAGATTCCAATTCAATTAATTGTTTTTGGCATAGATTTCATTTATTCCACTCTTACTAATTTAATTTAATTGCTACCTAGTGTGAATGAATACAATTATAATTCCATTCGAATTATTTAGTTGGAATTGGATCTATACATTTATGATTAGGACTTTACCTACAATTTTGTATCAGACTTGAGATTTAGTAAAGGCATGATGATTATGGGTTATTTCTCTTTAGAAATGAATATGACATGATTATATTATTGTTCAGGCAATGAGAAGGAATCGATTATTTCGGCAATATCAAAGGATAAGTAGACAATTTGAGAAGTAGCCAAGGTGAGTGTACTCATTGGAAGTTTATACTTGAATGGGTGTGTTGAAGTATCGAAGATATTTATTTGATGTGGAAATGCTTATATATATTAAATAAGGTCCATACTCTGACCTGGAAGAAGAGTAATATATTTATATAAGGTCCATACTCTAGCCTGAAAGGAGAGTAATATATTTATATAAGGTCGCCTGAAAGGAGAGTACTATATTATATAAGGTCCATACTTTGGCCTAGAAGGAGAGTACTATATTTTAGTGCCTATAAAGTTGGAAGTTATATGTTGTGAAGTTTAATTGAAGTTATCAGATAATATTTGTTTATATTACTCTGATGTAGTAGTGTTGCATTCACTGAGCTTTACTCTCACTTTTTCCATATCTATATTTTCAGTCGCTACTGCCAGGTCTAGAATTTTGAGTGTGGATGGGGGAAGGAGAAATAGAACGTCTTTTTGTATAAAATGTAAATATTGTAGTAGAATTTAATATTGTGACTTGTAATTAACGGTTTAATTTTCTTAAAACTTGCAAGATGGATTTATAGTTTATTTTTTTTATTATAAATTGTTAAGCAGACACTCTGATGTAGGAAGACGTTACGTATAAATGAGGTTAATACAGATGGTTAAATACATTCCAATTGTTCAATTTATTAAATAGTGTAAATTGGGTTAGGGTGTGGCATTGATATGGCCTAATCATAACTTGACAGCTTCGATTTAACTTAGGAAAAAAATAATCACTATTTCTTGATTGATTTAATCAGACACTTGTTTGTTATATGTGTTTGTTTTTATTATATAAATTTTTTCTTGCAAATTATTATTATTATTATTATTATTATTATTGTCATTATTGATTTACTCATTATTTCAATGCTCCTATAAATGTCTAGTTACAAAGATAAAAAAAAAAAAAAAAATTTAAATAACCAGCCTTTTGAATAAACAAGGTTTTCCTGATAGAAAGATTTGCTTATGACAGAGAACCTAATTTCGGGTATCTAGCTAAGCAAGCCCTACCTCTACCTTTCACCCTGACAAATACATGAGCACCTAGTGTGAAATGTTGTTTTATTAAAATTATAATATAAGATGCCTTAGGCTAGTACATAGTAAGGGGACTTTTCTTGTTCATTAGCGCTCTAGTTTTCAACAAGGGGCATATATTGAAGAAGTGAAATGGGCATAGAATAGTAGCCTATAATCACTTTGAAGCCCCTTTGATATTATATTATGTGAGTTGTATAATGCGGAATTGTTGTGGAATATAATATGGGCAAGTATTTTAGAGGGGGTGGATAGGTTCAACTTACTATTTTATCTGATTTTTGCTTAAATTAAATTTATTAAAGTAAAAACTAATTATCAACTCACAAAGCAAAAATTAAATGCAAGTAAAGTAGAGTTTGTGAGACACCAAGGCCCTGCTTGGAATGGTTCTCCCAAAATAGTTTTCTGTTTTGGGAGTTACAAAAAATAGTTCTTCAAAAAAATGGCCTACTTGGAATTATATTATAAAAACAGTTTTTTCAAAACTGAGTTCTTAGAGTAGCAGTTTTCTAAGAACAACTCAGAGTTGTTTTCCCTGTTTTTGAGAACATGCGGAGAACACTGTTCTCCACTTAAAAAAGTGGTCCGTACATTTTTATAATCCTCGTTTATAACAGTTTTGCGCAAGTTGAAACCGGCATCTCGCTCCTTCACGATAAAGCTCTGCAACACCTCATTTGAAACCGGCATCTCGCTCCTCTCTACCGCTTCTCTCTACAAGATTGCTCTGTAACGCTGCACTTCTCTCCTCTGCATCCACACTCTTGCTCAGATTTTTTCAAGCTCCATCTGTTTAGGTAAACACAAATCTAGTATTTTTCTGTCGCAAGTTTTTGGTTATGGATTTTGTTTTTTGGATGAGTTTGGTTGCAGATTTGATTCTTGATTTTGTTGGTTGGGTGAGTTTTGTTGTGGATTTGATATTCAGTTTAGGGATTTGTGGTTTTTAGTTTAGGGATTTGATTTTCAATTTAGGGATTTGATTTTCAATATATATATGTGTATGTATATATTGGTCTACATATATATATATGGTCACTCTTGGGTTCGGTTCACCCACCCAGTGATAGATTTTCTATCACCAACATGCATGTCTCCTCTAATTTGAGCATTTTGACCAAAAATAATCTGCCTCGACAGTACAATACTGTTGATTAAGAGTATCTCTCATCGAGTCAAAACTTACGCAAGTTTAGGACTGCAATTTTAATAGAGATGCCCACTTGTACTCCTCAAAAAATAGAGTAGACAAATGCACAAATTATAGTGTTCTATCACCAACATGCATATCTAAAGCCTACCTTAAATCTTTGCATTTTTTTTTCCTAATTGCTTTTATCTTCATCCAATTTTCACTTATCAAATAAAAAAAAATGTTCATCCTACTTTCATTTTCAATGTCATCGGCAATCCATATCCTAAACATAACAGAACTAAAATACTCATAATCCTTTGCCTGGGTATACTCATTAAGCCCTAACCCTCTTTTCATCAACTGTCAAGTATGTCTAGTACAAAAATTCCTTTCAGCCCAAATTTCCTGGACAGTCCATGAACAATTTGAAGGAATCCTTGAGAAAGCCTGGCAACAGAACTCCCAGAATACTCAATGATTCAGTAGTAGCTTCTTATTTCTTTCCGAAGGCAGTGAAGGAATGGAAAAGAAATGATTTTGGTAATTTTTTCAGAAACAAGAGAAGAATCACTACTAGGTTTTAAGCTGTTTAGACTTCCTTAAAAATCTTTTTGGAAGAAGACACAGACTTCATGGAAATCTTATAGTAAGATCCCCTAACAAGAAGAAATGAACTGACTTTAAAGGTCCAGAGTAATGTGGATCACTTGTGGGGAGTATAACAGGAGGTGTCTATTTCGAAAATCATTAGCAGCAGAAGGGAAAATAAAGTGAAAACTTTAGGGATTTGATTTTCAATATATATATGTGTATATATATATTCGTCTACATATATATATATATGGTCACTCTTGGGTTCGGTTCACCCACCCAGTGATAGATTTAGGTTAATACCTCCAAACTAAATCAACCGCAGGATGGCTCAATCTTGAGTTCCAGGCTCCAACTTTAGTGTAACCATTTTTCTTCTTTTTTCTGTTTGTCATTATTAGTTTAATTTTTTATTTTGTTCACAGAAGATTGTTGATTTTCTTTTTCATCCTCTTTTCGTTTTTGTTGTTTCTCACTTCCTGTAAAAAGATGAGATAATTTTTACTTCTCTGTTAGGTGGTACGATTAGCATATATATGGCAAACACAAGCACAAAAAGGCACAATTTAGCTAGATTTGAGTCCCAGAATTCCCATATCTTGTTCTTCCCAAATATGTTTAGTATGTTCAGCTATTGTTTGGAATAACGAATTGGTACATATAATATATGTGTTTATATAGAAGGTCGACATTTAAACATTATACTATAGATTATAAAAATAGGATGATTATTGTGACGGTGTGATGTCAACAGATTTTGAGCGATGCAGGTCTCAATCATAGGATGTTGGCTTAAATTCCTCTTAGTTATATGCACCCGTTGAAGAACTTCACAATTGCTTGTATTTTCTGCTAATTGTCTATTATGGTTGGTGCATTATACTATTGTTCTTATTATCGTTTTTATTGTATGTTTATGTTTCATATTAGTCTATCAGCTAATTTATGCATGCCAACACTGGTATTATTATACATTGAATTTGCTGATCCAAATCACACAGGACTACTTGCACTATTGGACCACTACATGATTAGTTCAAACTTTTTTTTTTTTTTCCTTGGGAGCTCATCATTTTATAATTTATTGTGCTTTTCATAAGCACAATCGTTATTTTATACATAGAACAGAGAAGATTGTTGATTGGGTTGGGTGATTGTCTTCGAACAGAGAAGATTGTTGATTGGGTTGGGTGATTGTCTTCTCTTAGACATGGGTTCACTTTTCTGTCTCAGTGGTATGTTGCTTTTCAAGCTCTGTAGCTTGACTGTCCTCATCATGATTAGATTTACCAAGGAAGGAGAAAGAGTAAGAACCACCGCCCCTACCATCCAATAACAGAACAATAAAACTCTAAAAATTACAGAGTAAGAACCCACCTCCTGTAATTGTTGTATAATGAACCCTGCAAGGATTAAAAAAGGAATAGAAAAGAAAAGAAATATTGAGGAAAGGAATATATAAACAAAAGTATATAACAATAATTTAGCAAAACAAGGAGTACAAAAAATGGTAGTGAACAACATCTAGAGTGTGAACTTGTATCTCCTTGAAGCCATCTTTTAATGCAAGAGGAACCAAATAAGTGGCCACAAGGAAGACAACTGCAATACTCAAATCATACATGTAGAAAAACCCATGTCAAAAAAACCCAGAGAAACATCAAATTTTGAGAAATTAGTTCTAGAACTGTATAAATTAAAGAGAGAGAACCCACACTCTGATGAAATTGTGCACATATATACTGTGTGCCACACAAACATCTACACATATACATGAGAATACACACACACACAAAACTGCATACACTGATTTAACTGTATAATTAAATTATACATATGTATAATTTAATTATACATGATTCAAAAATATCTTACAGAAATAGGGAAGACTTTAGAAATCAATTTTACTTACCTTTTCTTCCAATGTTGATATTGTACCTTTAAATATCCATTAGCCATTTCCAAGAAGTTTAACAATGCAATTTATTGCAACTGAACTAGAAACCCATGAAGAAAAAAAAAAAAAAAAAAGTGTTCTTTTGACTCCTTTCATTGCTGAAAAAGGGTTTACAAAAAACGGTTTTATATTTTGGGAGTTAAAAAAAAAATGTTCTTCAATTTTAATTATAGCACATCAACTTTGTTTTGTCTAGGTTCTTGAAAAATCAAGATGGACATAGATTAGAGTGACAAATCGTCTTCATCGTCTAGTGATTCAGATGAAGCTTTTGATGACCTTGTAGATTGCATGTATTTGAATTTGATGCAGGAGAATGAAGATTCCTTTAAATCCAAGGTACCAAAGAGAACTTCAGGGTTAACAGGTCATGAGTATGTTCAGAAATTGTTGAATGACCATGCCGGTCGATGTTTTGATATATTACGAATGGATAGAGAAGTCTTTTTGAAATTATGTCGAATATTGAGAGAACAAAAATTGTTGGAAGACATACATACAATTTCGATCGAGGAGTCAGTGGCAATGTTTCTGTTCATTATAGGACATAATATTCGTCGTGCAGTGGTAGCTGAACGATTTCAACATTCTGGAGAAACAGTTTTCAGACATTTGAAATACGTATTGAGAGTAATATGTCACCTTGGGAAATCCCTCATACGTCCACCACAAAGCGATGATGTGCCTTCTCATATACTTCATAATCCTAAATACTATCCTTGGTTTAAGAATTGCATTGGAGCAATTGATGGAACACATATAAGTGCTTTTGCACCTGCCAGCAAACAAACTCCTTATAGAGGAAGAAAGTCTATAGTGACACAAAATGTTATGTGTGCTTGCTCATTTGATATGCTATTTACTTTCGTTTACGCGGGTTGGGAAGGAACGGCAAATGACTCGAGAGTTTTTATTGATGCAATTACTAGAGCTGTTGCACGATTCCCGATACTAACTGATGGTATTACTATTATGTTTATCTTTTTTAATATTAATAATAGCATGCTACTAATCCTAATAAAATTTAAATAATTTTTTGCAGGGAAATACTATGTAGTTGATTCTGGTTACCCATGCACAAAATGATTTCTGCCTTCGTATCGTGGTCAAAGATATCATCTACAAGATTATATCGGCAACCGCGTGGTGCAAAGGAATTATTTAACTACCGGCATTTATCACTTCGCAATGTCATTGAACGTTGTTTTGGAGTACTAAAGGCTCATTTTCCCATTTTAAAGCTTATGCCTTATTATAAGTTGGTTAGACAACGACTCATAATAACTACTTGTTGCACGATTCACAATTTCATTCGTCAAAATATATTAGATGATCGTTTTTTTATGGAGTATGCGGAAGAAGATGTTAATGTCACGAATAGGGGGAATGGTAATAGTAGTAATGTTGGTGTACTGAATGCACTTAATTTATCTGATGATCGTGCAGCACAAATGGGAACCCTTAGAACTCATCTGACAAATCTAATGTGGGCATCATTCAGAGGCAATGCTAGATGAAGTTATTTTTATAATTCTCTAATTTTTGCTTTGATTACTTATTTGTGTAATTCTTTAATATTTTGTTTTAGTTATGTATGACTAAAATTAATGTTTGTACAACTAAAAGTGCATATGACATTTAAAGTAATTAATGTAACTCTTTTGTTGTATTTAAATTTAATCAAATTTTAATTAAATTTGATATATTGTTATTTGTGCAACTTTTATCAAATATACTTGTTAAAATGAATTCACCTCCAACACTTATTTTTTATATATATATATATATATATATATATATATATATATATATATTTATATTAATAGTTAATATCATAAATTAAAGAAATAAAAGAGTGATGTACAATAATATTTTTATTTATTTTCTTAGTTCAGAAAACTATTTTCAAAAACTCATACAACCAAGTAGTTTTATGAGTTTTTGTTTTCCGGAAACTGTTTTGTAAATTCTCTTAACCAAGCAAGCTTGAAATCTGAAAAAACTAAAAACTATTCTCGGAAAATTGTTCTTGAGAACAGTTTTCATAAATCCATTCCAAGCATGGCCCAAGTTTTTAGTGAGGAGACCTAGTTTGAGAAATCATCCAACAAAAAAAAAAAACCTTGAAGACTATCACGCGGTCTCAAGCAAAACAATCAATTATGTTTGAAGCAAAGTACAATGGATTTCGACTCAGGCTCACACCCTCTCGCTCTACCAAGAACCACTTATTGACCATCTTCAGCTTTTCAACTCCCCCGTCTAACAACTCTCGACCTTAAGCTTACTCCCTTGACTATTACAGAAGGATTGCTAGTAGATTAAATAACACTCCACGAATGCTTTGATCCCTTCAAAGTGTGACCGCTCTTTCATTTTTTTCAAATCTGAATTGATGAAAATAAATAGAAACTCTATTTTTTCTTAACGGTATCAATAGATCTTCAATGATTTGAACTTTGAACAGATAGAGAACAACATCCTAATCACTCGTGTGTATAGTATATGTGCTCTTAATATGAAAAATAAAGACTCCAAAAAATCTCATAAATTGGTTTTGTAAGATTGATAAAAATTGTATTCAAAAGCCGTGAAAAACTTACGTGAGAAAAGATGTTTATATAGAATTTGTAAAGACCTAAAACAACTTGAAAAATAAGTTCAATTCGTGTAAAATTGTCATACAAAATCTAATAAAGAATGAAATTAGTTCTTATCAAAATATGATATCAAGAAAGTGCAATCTGTTGGACTTAAAGTGCAACCTGTTAGACTTTTCTAGACTTCCGAAAGTGCAACCAGCTGGACTTAAAGTGCAACTTCTTGTACTTTTTCAGACTTAAAATTTTTCAATAAAAACATGTTTTTCTTATATCTTAATAAAACTTGAAATATAATGTGTCATCACTCAACATACATTTTCTAAATGATGTTCTCATTGGATCGAAGTATGCGTGCACTTGTTTTTCTGCTTTCGACACCAAGACTCTGTGACGTTTCGTAATTTTTCCATTTTTTTGACATTTTTTTTAAAAAAAAATTCTGATTTTTTTTAATTTTTGTGCCTCATTTTGCTTGTCACCCATCGGTTAGCATGCCATAAAGGTTCCAAGAGTGAATTGGGGCATTTATTTGAGTTTAGAATTCTTAGGAATGCATTTCGGGTCTTTTTCCCATTTTTTGAATTTTTGGTCCAGGAGGTCCCGGTTGGACCCCACGCCCAAATTTTTCGTGCTCAAGGTTATTGCATTTCATGTTTTATTATTTAGTGGGTATCTATATGATTATGTGTTTATTTACTCATTTGTAGCATGTATAGTATGTGTATATGCAAGGAAGGGCAAAATGGACATTGGGTGGGTCAAAGTGGACCCCATCTTGACTTAACTTATGACTAAGAGGACTTAGGGCCTCACCTTTTCTGCATTTCTCTCCTCCACCAGCCGAGCTCCTTATCCCTCTCTAAACTTATTTATCTCTCTCTAAAACTATACATTTTTAGCTTAGATTTCATCAATTTCCTTTTGGAATTGATCTTTGACACAGAAGGCAAAGTTGTAGGGCTCGACGAGAGCTTCAAGTTGATTAGACTGGATTTTCGTTTGGGTGACAGAGAGATTTTTAAAATTTGGGGCTTTTTGCATCCATAGAGATAGAGTTGTCTAACTTGCATAGTCCTTCACCTTGGTAGTTAATTCCATGTTTTTCCCCTTCTTATACATGTCAATTTGATGTCAATTGCATAATTAAGTTCTAGGGTTTGGTGCATGTTTAAATTGTGTCAAATTGATGTGTTCTATGTGACTATATGCCCATCTTGTGTATAAATTGTAAAATGACATGCTATCAATTTGCTATGTGATGGATTATACGCTTACCTTCTATGTTGTTGTGATGATATTGACTATTCTCATACTAGATGTTGTTATAATGCTTGGAGCATGCTTTTTTTTATTAATTAAGCTTGTTGTGTCATATAATTGTTTATTTTATAATGGAAGCATGATGAGTAGTGAAATGATTATATTTGAAGTATTTCCATATATATGGCATAATGGTGTTCATAGGTATATGAGTTGGGTGGGTTGAGAGACGTGTGTTGATTTTGAAAAGTTGAAAATGAGGATTTGATGAGTTGGGAAAAAGTTTTTCTCAAACCCGGTAGTTGGGGAGCTACCCCTTTGTCGGTGGTACTAACTAGTTAATAGGGACATGGAAGGTACCCATGAGTAAATAGCGAACTCGGGCCTCAAGTAGTAGTTGTGAGTCACCCTTTGCCAAAGACGACTAGCAACCCTAGGGACAACGGAGGTACCAAAGTATGGCTAGTTCGTACGTTTTCGGGGTGGGTGTGTAGATATGTGAGGGTGTGGATGGGGTGTGTCATTGCATTGAGCATTTCATGCATTACATTGCATGTGAACGGTGATGATGGTTACTTAAAGATGGAAGTGATGCATGTGAATCCCTTGCAAGATAGCTTTGTCTATTTCCCATTCTTTGTATGTAAAGCATGTGATTATTTACTTTACTTGAGGAAATGTGTGATACCCCCGGATTTCCAGATGCGGGTTGGCCAAGCCCACTCCCGAATACCCGAGGATATCAAAAACAAATGGCAATAATCGAACACAAAGTACAAAATAGATAACAGGAATAAATAAAAGACTGAAAGAAACTAAAACGATAATCCATTGCAAAGACCTCAGATCCAATTTTCATTAATAAATTCTGCTGATACAAATAATCCTCCAACTTATACAACTCGGGAATCCATACTATGTGGACCCCTAGAAAACCAAACTAATCAAACGATCAACAATGTACAATTAGATACGGGAACTCCAATGTAGATAATCCAGAAGAATGATGTAGATGATCCCTGTTCAGCACAAACAATCCTTACTCCTAACGAATACCTGAAAAATGAAGGTGGGTCAGGCCCAGAAACAAGTTCTACTTTACTACAGTCCAAGCAGAGACCTGATACGCAGATATATCCTAAATAACTCAACAATAGCTAAATAGTCCATAACTATATATATATCCACACTAAAGGACTCTCACTAGACTACAGGCCGGTCTTAACCTGATTAGTAGGCAACATGCAAAACGCACCTGAAGTGGGCATGAGTACCTAGACCTAGCAGAGTACACCTCAAACTATCATAACCAGTTATGCATCCCAATGCATATACGCTCCCTAACCATCGATCCTGAGACTCAAGCTCATATCGAGGTACCATAAATATATATATAAATTCCATCCAAAACTAATGAAGTGCTGCTCAACTGTTCGTCGCCAAGACACGACATTTAATTAGGATTTAAATGTTATAATTAAATCCATTTCCTTAATCCAGAATAGGTAGGAGTTAGCATTTTGATCTAATCCGTACCTAATATGCCACCGTCCCATACCGGTGCATATAATCCACAAAATTCATATAATTGATATAACAGGTAAAACAGTTCAATAATTAAAATCCAGAATAGGTAGGAGTTAGCGTTTTGATCTAATCCGTACCTAATATGCCACCGTCCCATACCGGTGCATATAATCCACAAAATTCATATAATTGATAGAACAGGTGAAGCAGTTCAACAATTAAAATCAAGGGAACGATATAATGATAATCAGAAATATTACTAAGCATATTATACTGAAATTCTCAAAAGTAAATTTCATAATAATCCACAAATCCAACCACTGATGAAGTCTATAACAGATAAAACATCAATTAATTTCATATAAGCATACTACATTTTCAGATAGTCAATTATGCTTATTACAGTGCTTAAACATGATTAATATTGTTTAACCATACATGTAAAAATTGCTAAAATAATAGTAAGCAATAAATCCTTTATTCCATACTCAACATGCAAGTTTACTGTTGAAATTCATGTTGTTCCATTCTTTAGCATATTGTTATAAATCATGCTTCCAAGTATTTTTATATGTCCATTACAGTTACTTAAACCATTCACGGCATCTTAAACAACTTAGAAATACTCCAAACGGCCAAATAGAACCTAAAAATTCAATTTCTGCAAGTTCCAACGCGAGAGCAAGCTCCCACACTTTGAGAGCCAACTCTGCTCTCTTAGGAGCCGGCTCCCTCCATGAGGGAGCTGGCTTCCTCTTTCAGGGAGCCGGCTGTCTCTCCCTTGAGAGTCGTAAACTGATCCTGCTCATCTTCTTCGCTTCCAGCGATGTTCAGAACCCTATGTATTGATTTTATTAAGATTCCTAGGGTTCAATCTAAGTCCCAAAGGTTCCAGAAACTCATAGAATTCCAGTACGTATGACTAACAAGAATTTAAAATATAATCGGTAACAATTTATGCAATAAAACAATTTCAATTAAGTAATACATAATATAATTTACAGTCTGAACTAACATGCATAAAACATCCATTTTAAAGTTCAATTTAATTCCTGGAGACTATATAACATGCACAGAACACAGGTCTAAGGGAAGGAGTTAGAATAGAACTTGCCTCTTAAGGTTTCAGTTTGAAACCTTTAACCATCCTCTACCTAGACTTTCCAGCGACCTCTGATTGTCGTCAAGCCTCCTACTGCTCTGGTTCTAATCCATAAGCAGACCCTCTTCCTTTCTCCTTGGTCCGGCCTTTCAACCCTTGGCCAAAACCCTAATTTCCTTTCTTAGTTTCTCTCAAACCTTTCTGTATCTAAAAAGTGGCGAGCATAGGGTTTCTTCTAACCCTTGACAGACAACCTAATATGTATATATAAGCTTAAAACAAACCCTAATCCTATTTATAACCTACGTCTAATACTAAGAGAAGAAAAAAGAATAAAAGAAAAATAAAAACAAAACATAATACATATATTTAAAGTCGGTACATAAATATATATATATATATATATATACTAACCATACTTATTAATATAATTATTTAATATACTAATAAGTCCAAAATTCATAAATATACATATATACTCATATATATATATATATGTATCAACATCCATGGGTAATATATCTGTACCCGTTACTTATCTTATCCAAGCAGTCCATGTGACCCAAGTGGGTAGTTCATTACTACTATCCAAATCCATCCCTTTTAAAAATATAAAATAAAAATAAAATAAAATAGGTACACATCAAAATCAAATAACAAATAATTTCATTCAACACTTAATGTAAACAAAACACTTAAACACATACTTACAATTAAACAATTAAGTCAATTAAATATAAACATGAAACCATATAAACACATAGCCACGTAAACAACCAAAAATGCACAAGAAATAAAATTAAAATTTCAATTATATCCTTTTGAAAACTAAGGGTATTATAAGATGCCACTTAGGCAATCTTTACTGAGTCGTTGTGCTCATCCCTCTACTTAACATTTTTTAAGAAACGAGAAAGAAGTTATGGATGACCCACAACCTCAAATGTGATGACATTGATGACTTATTTTGTCGACTAGACGTTTAGTCCATTTTTTGAATCATGTAATATTTGATGTTTGGGAATTGTAATGAAACATGTATAGTTTTGCTCTAGACTTGTATTTAAGGCCGTATACGTTCATTTTGTGGTTAAAAATGGTATTGAGACCATTATGTATGTTTTATGGTCTCATTAGGATTTCAAATCCCATGTAAAACTTAGTGTCATTTTATGATGTAATCAGATCTATTTTGACTTCAATTAGTGTATCAAGCCTATTATGATGATTATATGACTGCAATGACCTAAAATTGGGGTTGCTTTTCATCCAAATTGATGTTTTTGGCACAGGTTTACTTTGCATTTAGGCTCACAAACAAGCTATGGGGTGTCCAAGGCCTTAGGTACCAAAAAATGGCCTATTTTTCACCTCTTAGGGCTTGTCGGCCGGCTGGTGATATAAGCTAGCCGGCCGACAATGTATTTTGGGCTTGGGTAGAATGTTGGGAGGCCTAGAACGTTATTTCAGTGGCTGACCCTCCATTTTCGGCCAGATGACACATGCCTTCAGCCGACCGACGCATCCTAGTTCACCAGCTTTCATGTCCCGACTTCAAATGACCATATCTCCTTCATTTTAACTCCAAATTGGGTTAGATTTGAGTCCAATTTCAAGGTTTTTGAGTTAGCTTTCCAATGGCACTGACCTAATCCATAAATTATAACAATATAGAAAGTTATAATTGTCTTAGTGAGGATTACTCCGAGAGCCTTACAAACCATGAAGGGCCATTTGTGTGAAAGCATTGTTTTAAAGCCTAGAACCTTACGAAATAAGTTAATAAGGACATGATGACTTGGATAAACTTCCTTTGACTCATTTAGAGTCAACCCACTTCTCTATCTTACCTTGAAAGAACCAGTTTGCCCTTTTGTGTCCTCAGGTTCGGGTAAGGACATGGTTATCATTTCGGACCTCGGGTTTGGGTTGATAAAGACTCAAAGTAAAATAAAAACTTACAACTCGATCGGACACGTTTTGAGACCAAAATTTATCAATTACAAAATTTATATCTCACATATTAGTCAAGCATTAACACTCTTATAGAGAAAGAATTTTAAGCTATATATGAAATCGAAAGAAATACTAAAAATCAGTGCTTTCATATAGATTGAGATTTGTAGCTTGATTCTTTACCCATTTCATATTGGGAAGATTTACAAGAAATTATCTGATAACTAGGTTAAAGAGAAGACAAAGTAGGAAAGGTACTAATTTGAATATAAAGAGAAGGGGGGGGGGGGGGGGTGGTGTAGATAATGACAACTATAAGATGGGGGAGGGAATGGATAAATAAAACTATAAGATTTGAAGAAGAGTATGGGGTTGTAAGATGTTATTGATGAGATTCTTCATTGAAACAATACCTAAAGTCGAAAAGGAATAAAAACCAAAACTCAGGAAGAATTTTTTTTAAAAGAGGCAGACTTTTAACCTTATACCCACAATCGTCTTCCAAAGACTCTTTGAACCCTTTTTAACTTGGGTTTATTTGATTTGTTTTTGATTTTTGTTAGGATGGAAGTTGTTGATACCCTCTCGGTGCTCTAAGTTTAAATATTTATTTATTTGTCTGTTAGTATAGCGAGCAACTCTTTTAATTTTGGTCGGGTTTCTCTATGTAGAGTTTCCTTTGGGCTCCCTTGCATTTATGTAGACTGGGTTATTTTCTTTTGTTTCAGTTCTTTTGCCTAATTGGTAATAGCATGGTTTACTTTTCTTCTTACTCACGGTTTTAATTTTTCGATGACAGTGGGTTGGATCTCTTGCAACATTCATAATTCATTACCAAACACATTTCACTTAAGTTTTTTATTTCTTTGAAGATAGTAATGTTGGGTATTTTACAATATTCATAATTCATCACCGGACACATGCCATCCTTCTATTTCACCAGCAACAACAATTAGTTAAAAAGTTAAAAAAATCCCGTGAGAGTGGTCCAAGGAGATTCTATCTTTGTACCATTTTGTTCCTCTTTTGATAAAGAGAAAATAAATAAATAAAAAGTACAAACCCAATGGAGTAACAAATCTTTAATCCATGCAATGGATACTAGGAAATTATAGATTCCGGGTCAAACCCGCCCCATTAACAGAAGCCAGAAGAGGCAAAACTGAAAATTCAGAATTTGCAAAACCAATTGGTAAAAGTAAAATTTCAGAAGGGGAAAGCGGATGAAGAAAGCAAATTGGCAGAAACTAAAATACAAGTTTCTTGCCATTTCACCTTCCAAGAGATTCTCTCTCTCTACCTCCTTAAATGGCTTGGCAATTTTGTGGATATATACAACATTAAACTCATGCATTCAGAGAGATTCTCTGTCTCTGTCTCTCTCTCTCTCAACAGGCGTTACGTTCTTGCATTCTCCGCCTAGTGGGTTTGGCTTGTTGGGTCAATAGAGAAACTGAAAGGGGGAGAAACCATAGAAATTGTAGAACCATGGAAGGTATTGCTGCTGTTGTTGTTCTCCTATAATCTTAGATCATTGTCAAAGCCACTCTAGTTTTTTTGCATTGTTCATTTCAATATTTTATGATTTTATCTGTACAATTTCAGATCATTGTTTGTTATCAAGGGATGATTGTGTTTCCATGCGGTGATATAAAATCCCATGAAATTGGTGTGTGTTTCTGATTCAAGGGTTTTGTTTTTGGTTTTTGGGTCAATTCGTTGAACATTTGGTGAGAGTGATGTCTCTGTTGGAATTTAGTGTTATTATTATTATTTATTGGAATTGCATTTCTTTCACCCTACAATTTGATGATAAAGTAAGGAAAATTGATGTTTGGACTGATTTCTGTAAATGCTTTCTATTTCCTTGGAGGGTTGAGTTTTATCCGTAATTGGGTTCTTTGGTACTTTAACTAGAAAGAATTTTCGGCATCAAAATTATTTGTCGGTATCGAAAATGATTAGTGCATGGTTTTTGGATTTATATCAATTGAATAAATGTAGATGTTCCATCAAAGATGTACCAATGTAAATGTTTTATATGTTGCTATGGCTGTCTATCAGTCACTTCAAAATTTTGATCATTTCAGTGTCGTTGGAAAGAGTCAAAATATTATGTTAGTTCATAGAGTAATCCGTAAACCGAAGCTAGGAATTTGATTGGCTAAATGGAAAATTATAAAAAAGGCTACCTATCCCTTGAAAACGTGGAAGGAAGATGGTGTTTCTATGGATCTATGAGAGTATGAGATATTGGTATTGGCTAAACAGTTGAATAATATCTTGAAATCATTTATCATGCTAGGAATCTTATGAGAAGCAAGAAAAATTGATTCTTTGTAATGAAAATGTGAATTAATTAGAATAAATGTTATGGAAAGAGGCATAACATTTAGCTTCCTATAGTACCACATTTTCCTTATAAAGTTCTTACTTGTAAGGGAACTTTTACATGTATTGTCATTCAAAGAGGTTTAATCAAGCCATGATTAACCGAACCAACTTCTCATCAAACCCCATTCTTTTCAATATGTATTCCATGAATCTCTAAACTTGGTTTTCATTTTGTTAATGTTAAGCATACTTTTGATTTGCTTGCCCTCCTTTTGATAACTTTACCGCTACTATTCCCAAAACCATCTTGTTAAAGAGAAATGTACGTTACTAATCCTTTTTATTCTAGGAATCTAGGAAGCGATAGAGGGAATTTAGAGTTCCACTTTTTTTGAGGTTTGGTGTTATAATAAAAATAACTATGTAATTGTATTTTTGTAGAATTTTGGACAAGTCCATCTGTAATGGAGAAGGGAAGGACACAATGCATGAGAAAGTGGAAAATTAAGTTGGGATTTATGATTTATCCTAAATTGTTAAAGATGCGCCTGGGATCCAAAAAAGTCCCCAGTCTCGCTAAGGCTTGCAAAAGCTTCTCAGCCTACTACAAGCTATGCCCCTTCATTCGGTCCCATAAAAGCCCTCAGGATCGCATTTTTTAGTAGGCTCCAAGCTAAAATCGCAACTTTATTATTGGCCATTCAATTATATCACTTCGTAATGGTGCCATTAGTTGACGTCCTTGATATCGTATCAATCATATTCGATGAATCATATTGTCTATTATTATTATTTTCCCGATAAGTAAAGTTTCATTGGGAGGGCATCCCAAAACAACTACACAAAGGCCAAATAGGGCTCCTAAACCCTTTACATATCCACAAAATCCATAAAATCTCCTAAAGGTTTACAATTCTTCCCCCAAACCCAACAAAACAAAGAACTAGAACCAAAAATTTTCACAAAATCATATTGTCTAATATTATCTAATATTTGGCGTACTTGAACTCGTGGTTGACCACTTGCATTAATTAAATTTAAAGCTCGATTCTATTTATGGTAATATAATGTAAGTTTAAAATTTACGCGATTACAACCTTTTATTGTTGCATGTTTATAATGAGTGTATGATTTAGTTAATGCATATGCATATTGAAGGGATTATACAAATTAGTTTCCAATCCCTCTTTTGTTGATATGTCAAAATATCCAAAAATATTTATTTATGTTCTATTATCGTGCTGTATATTTTGAAATGTTTCAATTTTACATTATTGTAACTTAAATCATTTGCAAATTAAAAGTATGTATACACACACCCACACACAAACACATATTGGTTTAGGTAACAAACTGAATTGATGTACTGAAAAATTCCTTCATTTTGATGTTGATTAGTTTGTTTCATATAATTTTTTTTACGGAAATTATATATAATATGCATTATATCACAAGTGTGGCTTAATTTGATCAAGCTTGTGCCTCATGTTGGCCTTGCTGCTTAAGCTCCAGAAGATCTTGTAGTGTTTAGCAACTATAGTGGCGCAAAATAGAAAGATATTCATGTGTATCCGCTGAATCATAAAGTAAAGTCAACAAGAAATGATAATCCTTATATACAATATGACAAATCTTAGAAGTTTTTATATTACCTAGCTTCTGAAATATTCTTTAATGCGAATATATTTTTTTAATTTTTTTCCCCCTAGAATTGCTAGTATATATGAATGGTTACTGTCAACTACAAATGATGCAATCTATTTGAATGATACCCCACGGTTGACCTTCCATGTATCTCTTTATTTGATATCAGAGGGAAATAAAAGCTTTTAATTTATCTTTTATCTTTTTCTTCTTCTTATATATGGTCAATTTTACTTAATATGCAATGACATCGCTATTTTATAGTGTTTAATCTCTAACAATTTCCTTGGCTTAGTTGCTATAAATCTTCAGTTGACTTCTATTCTAAAGTTTAGGCAAGTGTAGAAAACAACACCTTTTGTATGTCTCGATGCCAATTGTTACTGTCTAATTGGCTCTTGTCCTTCTTGCGCTAAGGTTATTTGGCTGGCCAAGGCCATACCTAAAGTTAAGCTTTCAGTTTGTCTATAGCTACTAGGGAAGTCAACACTCAAATGCGATATTTCAGGAAAGAAGTCAAAGCATTGGTCCCACACTTTGTGTCTTATCCAAAAGAAATAGCGTAACAATAATAGTATTTTTATTCAGTGACCTGATTCTATTTACATTATGTATATTTGTTGCTTGAGATCTCGTCTGAACTTTTGGTGGTGCGGCAGCAGCAAAATGTTGTGGCATTCTATTACGGCAATTTTTTGTATTATTTGGGGTTGAAAGGAACTCTTTGAAGTCACAAAGCCTACCCATGAGGATATTTGAGATAAAGTTTGTTTCCTTGCTTCTATGTAGGTTTTTTTGTTTCTCCAGAGTTCAAACCCAAAACCCTTTTCCATGATTGTGAGGCATTGGGTTTCTGAAAACACCAAGTTTGAAAGAAAATGCTTCCTATTGCAAAAGGGGGGTTCCCCGTGCCCGTTTTCTTAGGTAATGTTGCCATTTAGGAATCAGAACTATATGCAGGGACAGGTGCAGAAGCTTCTTTCATCTCTCTAACTGTGTCTGTCTGTTGATTTGCGATTGATGCCAATTTCATAGAGCTTTGACAAGGTTTTTGGGAAGCTTTTGCTTTGGAACATCATTATTGTTTGACAAAGGGTGGCAAAGGTAGTGTTGGGTTGGACTAAAACACAATCTCATACTTTGAATCCCTCTAGGTCTGTTTTATATCTTTGAACCTTTTGGAACATTTTGACTGCGATACTCTTTATACAATCACTTCATGAGAGAGATCTTGGATCTGCTCTCCTTTTTAGAGGCTGAAACTAGGTATGATTCTAAATCCTCTCATAATAGTGCAGACTCGTTGCCCAGGGGTGGTGCTTTTTAGATTGTTCCTGTAACAGGCCATTTCTTTGCCTCCTTAGTCTTTCTCTCTCTTAAAGTTTCTATTTTCTGTTTGTAGGGGAAGAGGGTTTGAGTTTTCTCATTTTTGTTTGTTCTTGGAGAGCAACTTGGTGTTTTCTTTGATTTTCCATAAATGTAGAGTGCAATAAAGAAGTTTGAAATACCAGGGAGTCCAAGGTTCGGTGGATCAATCTGGTAAAACATTTAAAAGGCATGAGTTTGTTGAGGTAGGTGTGAGATGCTGGATCTTAATGCAATCTGGTAAAACATTCAAGCTGCCTTCTTTTGTTTTATTCCTCTTTTGGTGTTTTAATGCAACCGTAGATTAAGAGGATGATTTACTGCGTTATTGGGAACACCCAAAAAAGGGAAGGAGTGAATGAAATACCTAACGAATTGGATAAGGAAATTATTAGATTCAACATTAACCAATTTCAACAACTTGTTTTTAATTTACGTTTATTTTTTCTAATATTGACAAATGTTTCCAGGATTGGAGAAATTCTTCAATACAATGGCGATACCATGTCATTTGCAGACATGGTAACACCAGCCAATTAAATCTTGTCATAGAAGCACCTGGAACCCACTCAATAAAAGTAGTTGGTTACATGACATTTGATTCAAATTTCATGTATGCATGAATTTAAATGAGTCACACCACATGTCAAGATTTAATTAGTTGGTGATACCATGTCAGCAAAATAAACATGGTATTACCATTGTATTAAAGTTTTTTTTTTCTCTTTCTTTCTTTCCCTGGGACTGAGTTTTATTATTAGATGGGTAGGGTTAAGTCTAATCTAGTAGGAAAACCCTCTATATTCTTGTCTAGAAAGGTTTTGTAGACCGTTATTTTCTTACAGTTTTGAGATAAATTTATGGCAACTAGAGTTTGCTCCGAAATCCCTTCTTGTTCTTGCAGTTCTCTTTCAATATATTTTTTATATTGCTGTAAACAATGTAGATCTGCTCTATCTATCATGAACGCATAGATCTGCTAAATGAAAAATGAAAGAATTAGGTCAATCTGGTCAGTACAAAATAGATCTGCTGCATATCCCATGAGAACATGAATGGAAGACAGTTTTTATTTGGATCCGATTATGAGATGGAGGTACTGGTTAAATAAAGAAAAATGGTGAAGAAGGTATTCTGAAGTCATTTCTTATACTTGGAATATTACGAGCAGCAGGAAAAATGGTTTCTTCCTAATTAAAAAGGTGAATTAATTAGATAAAATTTGAAAGTTTCTACAACTATGTAGTCACGAACTGGTGAGATAGTCTTTCGTTATTTTGTTCACAAAAAGTTAATTAGCTTTTAACAAGTTCAACATATTTTCTGTCTAGAAAGCATATGAAGGCTATGATCATCCTCTATTCTTCATGCTCTACCATGGGGCCATTGTCTACTATTTTCTTAGATCAGTGTGAGCTTCTCCTAAGGTGTTGCTCCATGGGAGGATGGAACTTTCTATGCATCAGTAGATTGTGTAAGTGATAGCTGTCAGGTTCGCGTTCTCAAGAAAAAACATGACTGTGCATTGATTGAGAGTACCACATAGGAGATGGAAGGAGCATGAGTTGAACAGGGAACTCTTCTTCTAATAACAAAATTTCCTTTCAAAATCCTTCTTTGGTGAGGGAACTCTCACATCATCTTTTGTCCTTGTTAATGGACATTATCTGGTTCTTTAAATTGTTGATAATTATGGCTTGTTGATGTTAATTATAACTCTGATCTCCCCCTCCTTTTCCTACTTTACTGCTGCCATTAACAAAATTGTCTTGTTAAAGTTATAATATACACTACAAGAGATTTTCTAAGGGGAACTAAGAGATTTTTTGGAGTTGTCATTTAACTCTTTGGAGTTGTCTAAGGGGAACTACGAGATTTTCTATTTTCACAATGGTAACTAAGAGATTCTCTTATCTGATTTGTTGCTTTTTCGGTTGATTTGTTGGACAATTGTTTGGGCAATATAGTAAGGGTGATGTCTGTTGGAATTTAGTGTTTCAGAATTGCATTTCCTTCTGCCTAAAATTTGGTGATATATGTGCATGTGTTACAAGGAAAATTGATGTTTTGACTGATTATAATAAATGTTTGCATTTCCTCAGAGGATTGAGGTTTATCGACAAACGGGTTTTGATGCTTTAAATATGAAATTTTTTCAGTGTCAAAAATAATTGTGGGTATTGAAAATTATTTATGCATGGTTTTTGAACTTGTTTTAATTGAAGATACATAGGTGTTTCATTGTGTATCATTGAAAATGTACTTATTTTGGTATGGTTGTAAACCCTGTAAGATTTGGACAGATAAATTTCAGTTGGTTGGAAAGAGGTGTAACCATTTTAGTGGATTAAGGAAACTGTGAACTGAAGGAATGTGATTGGCTAAATTAAAAATGAGAAAATAAGGTGAATGTGGTCTGTACAAAACGGAAAATAAGGTGATTGTGGTCTGTACAAAACGGATATGCTACATATCTCATGAACACGTGAATGGAAGATAGTGTTTCCTTGGATCCATGACTATGAGACATTGGTTACTGGTTGGGATAAAGGCGATAGGAGATGGGAAGGAGCATGAGTTAAGCTGGGAACTCTTCTCCTATTACTGAATTGCCTTTTCAATATCCTTACTTGTTGGGAACCGTTACATCATATATTGTCATTTAAAGAGGGTTAACTGTTGATGGACATAAATCGGTGTATTTTGTTGATGTTAATTATATTTTTGATTACTCCCTCTATTCTTTGGTTTGGTGTTGGAATGCAGTTCAATATGCAATTGTGTATATGTGGAATTTCTTGGACAAGTCCATTTATAATTGGGGTGAGGGGGATCTGTGCAGAGTAAATGGAAGTTTAAGTGATGTGGCATTAACTAGAAAGAAGTACATGGGTATTTTTCTGAAGAAAAGCAATATGACTTGTGCTTTTGGTTGCTTTTAAGCCCTTAATGTTAGACTCAAAGAAAGTGAAACTTTTCTTTAATATGATAGAGTATAAGTGGACCGTTTACTCTTTTTTAGAAGTTCTTCTATTACTTTGCTCCTGAAATGATTAATCTAGTTTAATTCTTCCTTGTAATTATATGTGAATGGTTACGGCCGACCATTAATAACACAATCTATTCGAGTCATACCCATAGTTAATCTTCCATATATCTGTTGATGTGATATGTAAGGGAAGTAGAACATCTAATTTTTTTTTTTTTTTTTTTTTTTTTTCTTTTAATTTTTATTTATTATAAGTAGTCAATTTTGGGGGTCATTGCTTGGTTCATTTGGAAAACTTGAATTCACAAGTGAGAGGACAGGTGTTAGTCTCAAAGCAGTCACTTTTGGCAAAATAATGATATGTTAGGTTTGTTTCGTATCTTTCGCCCACAATGTTGCATAGACGGGACATATATCGTGTTTGGTCAATTTACTCAAGTATGCAATGACATCTAATAGCTAATTTAGCAGTTTTCCTTTTATGACAATTTCCTAGGCTTAGTTACTACGAACTTTTTTTGGATATTGATAATTTATTCTCATTATTCACAAACCATAGTAAAACTGAGCTTTTAAGGAAGTGATTGATGCTGGCTGGATGTGATTATTCTCTAAACAGGCTCGTATGATGGAACTGAAATTGGTGGTATGTGCATTTGACGGATGACCTGAAAATTTACTTTGTTATTTTTTAACTTTTAGTTGCAATCACTGAGCCTTTAGTTTAAGTGGTATCCTCTTCTTTGGGGAATGAGGTTTCAAGTCTCCATTGGTGCGTAGTGGAGGTCTGTGTTCTTGCTTACCCTTTAAATAGAAGGAACTCTTAATTGCAATCAATTCATGTCAAGGTCGCAGAATGCAGTGGATTTATGTTAAAAATGTTAGGGAGTGTTAAAAGAAACATTTGGTGTGTTTGGATGCAAGCATTTTCTATCTAAATAGACGCTTTGTCCTTCTCTGCAGCCATGTTTATTTGGATGGCTAAAGGTCCTTCCTAAGGTTAGAGCTTAGATTTGGTCTATAGCTCTGAGGGAATTCAACACTTAATTAGATATCTCAGGAAAGAAGACACAGGTTTGATCCCACACTTGGTGTTATGCAAAAGGAATTGCAAAACAACTAATCATATTTTCATTCGGTGCCCAGTTCTTTCCAACCATTTCATGACATGCTTTATAATTGACCAACTGAATTGCAGGGCTTCAGTTCTACCAACCATTCCATGATTTGTTTGTCTTTTGCAGAAACAGCTGCCCCCTTGTTCATTCACTGCCACTTTTTCTAATTTCTTGGTTTGGAGTGTCGGGGTTTTTCTTAACAAGTTCATATTTTATAGGTTCTCAACGGAATTCTTATTCTGTGTTTCCAAAGTAAACTGTGATAGAAAATGTCTATTGTGCAACATATTGGATTACCACTAGTAAAATGATGGAAGGGTCTTTGAGGGTGCTTCTTGGTTCAAGTCCCCCACGGGCAATTGTGATTGTTGCATGTACGTCTTCCATTAAAAACAAAACCTTAAATTCAAGGTTGTGAGCAAATTTAATAAAAGATATTGACATTATTTTTTTCAGTAAGTAGATATTGACAGAAATTTGATAATAGAATTCTTCTAGCTGACCCATGTATTGAGATATAAGTGTTCAGTCAAATTCATTGGGTGGCATTTCACGCTTCTACACAAAACTTCGATCCAACATTTGAATACTTTTAGGTACCTTTTATAAGTATAGCACAGTCTATCTAACTTAAATTATTTATTTATTTGTAATGTTATTTCCCTTTCTTTTTAGTAAGCCTAACGGCTGATGAGGCGACAATATTCCCAACCGCACTATTTTCTTGCCTATTTTAGTTAGCAGTTCCAACACTCATTATTATTTATTTCCTGTTGTTGATGCTTTAGATTCGTGTGAAATGCATTCTGAAGACAATAAAGCTCTTCCAGAGACGAACAGGAAAAGAAAGCTCAAGACAACAGCTCAGGTTGAGGCTTTAGAAAATTTTTTTAATGGTAAGGATTTTCTTCTTGTCATATTTCATCATGCAGTATGCTACTAAATCAATTGTGTTCTTAACAGAAATGATTATTAGAAATGCTTCTTACTCTTTTCCAGAACACAAATATCCAACAGAATCAATGAAATTGGAACTTGCAGAGTCATTACAACTGACAGAAAAGCAAATTTCCGGGTGGTTTTGCCACAGAAGGTTGAAGGATAGGAAATTACTGATTGATGAAGCATATGCAAATGGAAGACAAGATCGATCAAGTGGAGTTATACAAGATCGTGGCAGTGGACTTAGGCAGGATTCATGTGGCAGCACCAAACAAGGGGATTACAGGCATTTTGATCCAAGGGAGGTTGAAAGTAGAAGGTTTAGTGGCCAAGATTTTTCAGCTGTAGATGTCACATATGAGCATGGGAGTCACTATACTGGCAACCATAGTGGCACAGATGATACATCTTCAGGAAGTAGCTCTCCTTTACAGAATAAAATTTTCAACCAAAATGAGGTTCATTTTGATATGACAACTTCAAGATACCCAACACAGCATAATAATATTTTGCCATTAGATGCAAAGGGTGTACAAATGAGGAAGGGGCCATCTGGATATCTAAAGGTGAAGGGTCAGGTTGAGCATTCTGCTATTACTGCTGTTAAGAGGCAACTGGGGAGGCATTACAGGGCAGATGGTCCAATGCTAGGTGTTGAATTTCAGCCGCTTCCGCCTGGTGCATTTGAGTCTTCAACTAGGGATCCAGTCAATGGTAAGTTGGAACATATTTATTGTGCCCAATCTTTAAAATCACTTATATTTTTGTGTTACAATGATAAATATCTTGAGTTATGTATTTGGCTTGTAAATTATGTAATTCACCCACTTCATTGATCTTTTTATGTTGTGGCCTGATTTTTGTTTCGACGTGACCGGGTTTTGACTTTTTTTACACCTGTTTTCTCTAGTGGGTCGTATGTAAGGGCGTTAAGGATTTGGAGTGGGGTATGATAGAATACTGAAAACTGCAGGAAAGAGAGTGAGAGAGAAAGCGAGCTAGGGTTTGGGGGCTGAATCTTATAATTTCCTGATTTTTGCTTAGTGAAATCTTTCGCTGGATCTTCACTGTGGGTGTAGGGTTTAAGCTGAACCACGTAAATCTTTATGTTCTTTGTGTTTGGCGTATTCACTTTTCTGCTTGATTCTTGATTGTGTTCTTGGTTTGCATTATTTGTCACAACATTATCTTATTCTCAAATTATCTTTGTGAAGAAATTCTAGGAAACTAGTTGTTTTCCTGAAGTAGTCTGTTCCCAATTACTTAGTTCTCTTTATAGCTCCATTTTCATGTGAATGTATGAGTACCTACCCAAGTGCTGATTACCTCAAAAACACTCGCAAAATTTGGAACATCTTGTTCTTATTTTGGTATGCAATTTTGTTCAATTTCCTTTTTGCATGATTTCAGAAGATGAACACATTGCAATTTGGTTGATCTGACACATTTCAGCTTCTGTGAATGCCACCCACTATTTTGGTATGTTGTGAGCTTAGTTTACACAGCCCACATGCTAAATTGAGGAAGTGAAATTATATTCAAGATTACATATTCCCTCTGGTTGATATAGTTAAAGTCGTTTCTTTCCTTTTCTTGCTATGGGGTTGGCTTGCTCTTATATTATATATTTGTGTGCTTGTTCTAATAGTGTGATTTGATTTGGATTTTAAGTGGAGTCTTATCCATTTTTCTAAAAACTTCTTGGCAGAACCTTACTATGTTGGTGATTCCATTCCGCCCCATTCATTGGATGTTCCTAGAACTTGCAAGCAACCTAATCCTACTATGGTAAGTGGACTTTTAAAGTAGTTTTTTTCCCCTTTTCTTTTTGATGCTTTTATTAGTTACTTATAGTTATCTTTTAAGTGTGAAATTGTGTATGAACACTGAGGAATACTCGTCCATTTATATATCTTTGATGATTACCAAATTACACATTGCTGTTCTATCCATTTTGAAATCATGGCTAATGATGCATGTTTTAGCCGTATCACGAAATAGATGAGAGTCAGAGAAAGAGGTACACTATTTTTAGGCCACAATGTCTTGCTTATAACTATGAAAGTTTGGAATGTTGAAGGATTTAAATATTAAAGTTACACCCTCTCTAACAGCTTAAGCTTTTGGAGTAGATGGTTGTTAACAATATATTGCTCATCTTATCAGCAGATAATCTACACAACTTGTTATTTTACTATTTTTTACCATTATTTGACTAATTTTGACAGGTAATTTCTGAACTGTGAAACTTGGAATATATTAAACATCTTTTCAGCAGATAATCTAAACAACTTGTTATTTTACTGTTTTTACCATTATTTGACTAGTTTGACTGAAATGTTTAAATTGTGAATTTAAACACAGTGTGTTTAAACTTTATATCATTTACCTTGAATGACAGTTTAAACAGTGTTTAAACTTTATAACATTTGCCTTGACTGTCACATAAACAATATATATATATATATATATATATATATATATATTTAATTTCTTTTTCTGAATTTGGCCTTCAGATTATGTTTTTTTTTTTTTTTTTTTTTTTCCCCCTAATATTTTTGAATAGTGCACTATTTGTAATCCTGTTGCAGTGTGTGCCTATGATAAAGTGAGCTACACGTGGCTTATAACCTAGCCCTAGTTCTACTATATCTTCATGCTTGGAAATTGATGCATAAGCAGCAAGAAAGCAAAACAAGTGTATAGCAATTACCCTTGTTAATAGTTTTTCATTTAAAAATAATTTAGTAATTTAAATTTTGCGTTATTGGAATTTTATTTCCTTTCCTTGATTGGATTTGTTTGGTGGAAGTTTATCCTCACCTACTAGAAGTCTATTTTTCTAGTGTCACTATTGTTTGTGGAGTTTCTTATATTCTAAGATCTAATTTGAGTTGGCTTATAATTTTTTTCTTGGGTTTCTATTCACCTTTTTTTTTTTTTTTGGATAAGTTTTGGCAAGTTCTATCCAGCCCATTAGCTGCCTATAAACTTTCTACTTTTTTGAATTTGCATCTTAAATAATTACTGTGTAAAGTGGATTGACTTTGGTGCTTGCTTTTATGGAATCCATAGGACCATATATATGACACCCGAAACCGGACAAGCTAAGTAGCACTTGCATAAAGGAGATTTATGTGTATCTTATGATTCTTATTTGTATCATAAACTGTTACTCCTTGAAGATTTGTATATGTTTTTGATTCTTCGTAGCGATTTCTGTAATATGTAATTGTGGGTGAAGTTCCACCAAATGAAAAAGAGGAAATATGCCCTGCTCAAAGGAGAAATGTTGCTGGAAGAAGAGGAAATAAGACTAAGTTTCTAGAAATCTTTCAAGAGGGAGTTTTGAGTAATCTTTTTTTTATTTTTATTTTTTGGTCTCAAGTCTATGTATGTCCCTGCAACATAATTTTAAGCTTTCTCACGTGAACTTTAAGAATATAAAAGAAAAACTCATAGGATTTATAGATTATTTATTATATATATATATAATATTTCATCAAAGGGAAAAAGGGAAGCACATCCCAAAGAACAAAAAGGGCCAAGGTAGCCCACTATAGTGCTAAAGAATCTACAAAATCATCTACATCCCCCACAGATTTACAATTTGACCCATGTACTAAAAAAAATAGAGAGATAAGAATAGAGAATTTTAGCAACTAAATTGATCTCCTCCCCATCGAATTTCCGCCAATTGCACTTCCGCCACAGGCCCCACCAAAGACAAAGGGGCGCCACCCTCCAACAACATAGGCTTGCCTCCAATCTATACAACCCCTCTAAGCCTCAAGCATGCTTGTTGGGGAGTTAAACTGTTAGACATAGCCCACTGAAGAACAAACGAAGCAAAGACCATTGCCTAGTACAGTGCAAGAGAAGATGGCTAAATGACTCCTCTCCTCTCTTACACATGCAACACTAATTGATGATAATCCAACTTCTGTTCCTCAGATTATCTGTCATCATAATCCCCCAAATGCACACAACAGTCCACCCAAAAAAGGCCACCTTGAGAGGTGCCTTTGTACGCCATACTGCATTTCAAAAGCCCCCCCCCCCCCCCCACGCACAAACACAAACATCCTTGCGGATATTACAATGCCAACACTCACAAACATCTCCCACCTCCCAATTCTGAAAAGCTCTCCCAAACTGCACATCCTACGACAGTCGTCTACTATCAAGACAATGGAACTCGACAACCAAAGCCTCCCATCCACAACGATCCAAAAAAAACTCAGAATGTGGAAGCTAGTCCACGATCCTTACACCACATATCCTTCCAGAAGTTGACACACCTCCCACTCTTCACCCTAAAGTGAACATGTTTTGAAAATTCATCCCACTCCTTTTAGATGAATTTCCAAACACCCGTCCCTACCGAAGATGTAACACTCCTCCAAAGATGACACCTATCCACTCCAAATCTCCAAAGCCAATTCCCCAACAAAGCCTTGTTGAAGAACTCCAACCTCCTAACATCTAGGCCTTAGAGCTGAAAAAGCCTACAAATCTGCCACCAATTCACAAGATTTTGACTTGTATTAGGGATGCATTCCCCTTTTGAACGTTTTTCTAATATATTTTTACTTATCAAAAAAAAAAAAAAAAAAAATTCACAAGATGGTATCTAAACCCATTCCCCATACCACCCCAGAGGAAGTTCCACTGCAACTTGTCGAGATGCTTCACAACAAAAAATGGAATCCGAAATGAAGAAAGGTAGTAAGTTAGAAGATTCACAAGGGTGCTCTTGATAAGAGTTAGCCGCTCCCCCTTAGAAAGATATTGCCTTTTCTAACCTGCTAACCTTCTCTCGAATCGCTCCACCATAGGATCCCATATCGATGCCCTTCTAGACAAAGCCTTCAACGGGAGGCCCAAAAAAAAAGATCGGAAAAGATTCTACACCCTAAAATGTCTTCAAGGCTTCAATCTCTGCCACCTCTGTTGTGACAAACACAACGAACAAAGAACAAATCATGAATCACGACAGAAAAACAATCACAGCGCACACAGATTTATGTGGTTCGCCCAAAATTTGGGTTCATCCACGGTGAAGATCCGACAAAAGATTTCACTATTCGAAAAACAGGAGATTACAAGTTTCAGCCCCCCAAACCCTACCTCTCATCTCTTTTATGCAAGTCTCAGTGTTCTCTTGTTATCGCATATGTATCGGGCTACAAGAGAGTTTTAAATAGGGTTCAAGACCCACAAGTGAAAAACGGGTAAAAAACAAGCTTGGGCCTACATAATGCTCATTTTTTAGGTCGAAACTTGGTCGCAAGGCCAAAACAAAATTCAGGCCACAATATTACAAATCTCCACCTTGGCTCGAATTCCGCCAAGCTCCACACTCCCACCTACTCTTTCACCTCCTCCACATGCCCCTAATGGCCTCAGCAACTGCAAACACTAATCAAGTCGAGACAATGTCTAAATTTGACAGTAGGAGTGACCTTAGTCATCATATTTCTCAGATTCTCTGCTGTTCCAATATTCCTCACTACAATTGCACCCCGTGCAATCACATCTCTGAGGAATTACAACCTAACATCAATGTTTTTGGACCTCTCACAGAATATCTGATTTTTGGTCCGATGTATGCTATTGAAAAACATAGTAAAATCATCTTGTTGCAAGCCCAAATCACTAACAAAGCCTTTAAGCCATTTAGCTTCCGTCACTGCCTTTGTGGCTGCCATGTACTCAGCCTCAATTGTGGACAATGCAACTGTGGATTGCAAAATCGCCTTCCAACTGATCACACTGCCACATAGTGAAGATGACCTCCTCCTATCAAGATCCCTAGCATATTCCGAATCAACATAACATGTGTCCCTGTGTCATAGACTAAGCCAACATTTGCAGTACCAAGCAAGTACCACAATATCCATTTCACAGCTTGTCAATGGACCTTCCTAGGTCTATCAATGTATTTCTTCACTACACTATCTGCATGTGAAATGTCTGGCTTAGTGTACACCACAGTATACACATGATGCTACCAACTACACTGGCATAAGGAATACGAGACATGTGCTTCACCTCCTCACCAGCCAGTGGTGACAATCCTATCGAAAGTCTAAAGTGGGATACCAATGGAGTACTCACAGGTTTTGATGCTTGCATTACTGGAGCATTCTAGAACCTTCTCGATGTATTTCCTCTATAACAAATACAATCTTCCTGTTCCTCTATTCCTGTGATTTTCCATATCCAAAATCTACTTCACGGCACCAAGATCCTTCATCTCAAATTCATCACTAGGATGAGCCTTTAATATGTTGATTTCTGACATGTTCCTACAAGCTATCATCATGCAAGAACGCAGTCCTTTCTTCTTCTTGACCGCAGGAGAAAAAAAATCATTGAAGTCCACCCTTTCCCTCTTTGTATAGCCCTTCGGCATGCTTGGTGGCCTTCAACCTCACATCTTAGTTCCTTTCTTCTTCTTGAAGACCCAGTACAACCCCCAATCTTCTGGCCCTTTGGTTTCTCAGTTAGCTCCCAAGTTTGGTTCTTATGAAGAGTTTCAATCTCCTTACTCATGGCAACATACCACTGTGTTGATTCTTCACTTGTGATGGCCTTATGATAAGTATGCGGTACTTGCTCATCAATACTCTCTGTCACACTAAGTGCAAAAGCAATCAAATCAACATGTGAAAACCTATACTTCTGAGGTGGCCTAGCCTCCCTTTTCGGCCTTTCTCTAGCCACATTGTACTACTGCAACTGTGCATCTTCTCATCCCTAAACTGCACCTGCTCATCATTCGAATGATTAGTAACATCCTCTAACTGAACCTCTACATGCTCCACCTACTCACAGACACCCTAAGCTTTTGCTGAATCTACTACCTCCTTCTGCGGAGCTATGTTACATGGACTCTTCAAAAGTAGTGAAGTACCCGTGTCGGACACATATTGCTCGGGCATGGGTATGGCATATGTGTCCGACACTTTTGGTTGGACATGTACCTAAAAAGTATATCCAATCATTCAATTTTATTACAGTATTACTTTAAAATGAGTTGAATACCTATATTGAACATTATTTTCCTTAAAAACATTACTTTACTGAAGAAAATAAAATAAAATAATTAAATAAAATGAATATTTAGCAGTGTCCATTTGTCCTTCTATGTGGAGATTTGAGATGTCCAACGTATGAATACATTCCAATTCATGTAACATAGCTGTGGAGTAAGCAGCGCAGACTCGTGAAAGGTTCATCCCTGCTAACAAGTGACTTCTTTCCCGAAGCATTTGGTCACCACAATCTATTATCCCTTGACCAAATATGCATTGTTTAGCCCTCAGTTCAAGCTTCCCTTAATTGACATAAGTATAGGCAGGACACCCAAATATTCTAGCATGAATAAAATGGCTAACTCAGCCTGGTCTGAATATAAATTTACAATTATTCATTATAGCCAAACAAGGAATACCTAAAAACTAGGTTCAAAGAAAACCCCTCAAAACTAGACCATACCACCTCCGAAGTCTTACATTCGATAGCAGTTAATTGAGACCGGTTCACCAAGTAACAAGCTATGCTAACAACTTCAGCCTAGAACACTTTGCCTAACAACATACATCGTACTCTCTCCAACTGCAGCTGAACCCGTGACTGTGCTACCCTACAACGCATATAAACCATTCTCCTTCAGTCCCTTCATCACCACAAGAACATCATTTGAAACCTGAAAGACTCCACCTCCAACCTTGTAACTGCACTCAATGGAGTCCAACGTAACCAGGGAAATCAAATTCTTCTTCAGTTTTTGTGCATGCCTGACGTTAGTGAATAGAAAGATGTCTGAATTTTAGGAAAGGCTTTGGTATAGATTCTTTAATTTTAATTTAGGTATGCTGGCCAAACCTTAAGTGGCTAAGTTTTTACTGCCTATATATTATTGGATGAATTTTTAAGGTTATGCTGATGAATATGTCTTGGGAGGACTTGCAAGGCAAATAATAATTTAGGAGTGAGCTCTGCTTAATGGGCCATGGGAAGTTGGAGATTAGAGAGTAGAGGCTGCTATATCTATATTCCATGTATGAAGAAGGAAAACAGGGGGCTAAGAAGGGAAAGTTACCCCTCTTCCAATTATGTCCATCACAACCTAACATATTTACATATATTCTGGGGGGTTCGAAATCGTGATTAGGATAATAGAGGTATTTCTCGTGATATGATGACAGTCTTGGGTGGATTGAGTAAGATGGAGATTAGGGCAATCGTTGGAAAGAGATAAATAAATTAAATTTAGCCAATTTCTTTCTGAAATGACCAATGATAGAGCTCAATCGGTTAGTTCACTGCTTTCCCCTTTTCAAACCTTGGGATAGGTTATTAGCATTCCTTGAAACTTAGCCAGCAGTGAGTAAAATATAGCTAAAGTTAATAAAATCTATGCCTCTCATGTTACTTGTAAGTTTGTTGTTTTTGTTTGGTTAATAAAGTCTGGCTTAGGAAAAGAATATACACATACATATATAACCAAAACTTCAAGGGAGGCTAGAACAATGTTAGCTTATAAAATTCACACGTACACTCACACTTGCACTTCTTTTTCTCTATGTTTGCGACATTTAATATTTCAGCAATTGTATTCGTCTTCCTTTGTCATGTCCTCGCAGAGATATGAAGTATACAATTCCAAGATGGGCTCTCACGACTCGGAATTGGATGGGACAAGTCTTAAAAATATGCATGGGTCTGATTATCATGAAAATTACCCCCTCCAATTTAAGAAAAAGTTGTCTTTGCCCAATCATAGCAATCCCTTTCCTGGCCGGAATTCATCAGTAGAAATGAATGAAGATTCTGCTGGAGAAACCTCAATTTTTGACAGCAGAACTTATGGGATGGGGGCTAAGCACAGTAACGAAGGGATGAGAATGGATTCTGTGTCTAGTCATCATCTGCATCAATATGGTGGAAAAATCACAAGTGAACAAACAGAACCTTGGTTGCATAACTATGGTGATGTAAGCCACAAGGTTGCTCAGAAGGAATACTATGAATCTAAACCTTCACAGTTGACGCTAAAGCGCGGTGAACCTATTGCTATGGAGGAAAGAGGGATGTCTAGAAAGATGGCTAAGGTATATTTTAAACTTATACCTGTATGATCATCTTTTCTAAAATTCCGAAGTTCTCCTTTTGAAATTATGTATTTTAAAACTGATTTACAGGAGGAAAAATTCTATGGAGAGGGGGGAGCAATAAATGAGTATTTTGATCCTGTTAAACCAAATATTCATCCAGCAAATGAAGTGAGTTTGTGTTTGTTCTTTGTGGCGAACTCTTGTGGTTCATTATGTTATATATGTGTATTATATGGAGAGCTTTTTTATTTTATTTTTATCATGATTCTGTATACTTTTTTTTAAATATTTGAAGGTCGCAAAGAGAGGCAGGAATGAATTTCATCGGCAACAGTATCGGAGGAAAGCATCAATGGTAGAAATGCTGCCTTGGACAACTCAGATCAAAAGGTTAGTAAAATTATATCCACTTGATTTTAACTTTTGTGTTTCCTTGATGACTATAAAGTTTAGTACTTCCTTTGGTTGGCTTTTATGTGATCAGCATGCTTCCTTTATGCCTTTTCACAAAATTTAGTCTGTTTCTGTTTTTGTTTTTTTTGGTGGGGCGTTGTTATGATAATAGATTCATTGTATAAACCCTAATATGAGTTCATATATGAAACCACAATACACCAACAAGTCAAAAATGCCATCTTTTACTTTTTATCTTATTTTTGGTTTGATTCATTGCCATTTAGCAATATCATGGTGGGGACATTTTCTCAGAAGATCATTATACCTTTCCCATATGTGTGTATGTGTATCAATGTTGTAAGGGTCGGGATCCTACTTGGATCAATTACGTGGTCATATGATAAGTCGATTGTAAGATCCTTCAAAATGAGTGAAAAAAAAAATTACTCCGTACTTAAAATGTGTTTATAAATAAAAGAATTCTTAAAATAGATGGACAAGAATGCAAAATTTGCTGTTTGAACATAGTTTCATAGGGGTTAGATGCGAACTAAAAATTTTGATCGTGATGTTGGCTTGAAGTATGAAATGAATGAAACATGGATAGTAATCCCATATTTAATTTTCTTGAAAGAAGCATAAACAAAAGAACAAACTGATTTTTGTCAATATAGAGGATTGATATAAATTGGTTTTCAACATAGTATTAGTTATTTTTTCTGCAAAAGTAAATTAATTTCTGATAACCTTCCTGGCATTATTATTTTTCTTTATATCAATTTCTTGATGCTAATGCATGGTATATTCGCTAGATCCGGTGCAGAGATGCCATCTAGTTTCAGCGAGGATGAAACTGTGGAAACAAGTTCTTCCATGGATTAAGAAACTGCTGGCAGTGGAATGGAAAAAGTTTTAGAGAAGGTGGTTCTCAAGATCATACCTACCCGAGGGAGAGAATGGTGACCTGATATGAAGTTGTATAGTTTAAAACATGTTAGAATGCAGGAAGTAGTGGTACAAACATTGTAAACAGGATGTATCTGTGCATTAATGTCGCGACCAATTTGCTAATTAGCTCCTTTAGGTCCTTGTTTATATAGTGATGTACATATCAATTTTCCTTTGGGACATCATTGTGGAAAGAAACTGAATAGGGTTTTGAACTTTTGACTGAAAATCTCTTCTTCATGGAGCTTTGCTTGTAGATGCATTCATACCAAAGCCGATCGATCATACACCCCCAACACATTTCCCTGTAAATGGGGATTTACTAATACCTTGTGATGCTTTGTGTAGCTATTATCATATATTGAAGTCCTTGAAGCATGCATGCCATATATGCTACGTTTTGTGTGTTTATTTTTATTATTGTGACCTAACATATGCTTCCTCTGAACTTCTTTTTGTGGAGCATGTATTTAGATTTTAATGTTTCTTTAGGGTTCTTGTCTGCACGTGAGATGTGAAGAAAGTGCATGTGTCCTGGAAGTGGCTCAATTGTTGAAAGGGTGAGCTTTAACAACTTTTGCCTTTTGTCCTTCCGGAATCAACAGGAATTAATCTAGAGTAACATACTACAATTAAGGAAATTCAGGAACTAATGATTTATATATATATATATATATAGTTTCCATATCTGTCAAAATCCTGGTAGATATGGTAGAAGATAGAGATTAAATAACTTAAGGAAACTGTGTCCGTGTTTATGTGAGCTATGTTAGAAGATAGTTTCCATATCTGTCATGTAATATGAATCAAAACCATCCTGAGGAAGAAAAATTACCATATATGCTTTAATCAATCATAAAAAATGGAAGCTTGTACACATGTTTAAGAAAATTCAGATTGTGGTTTATACACATGTATTACTACAGTAAGATTCTATATCTGCAGAGTGGACAAGCATAGGCCTCATTAAGCCACTTGTAAATACAGGGTCCATGGAACTGGTGCATGCACCCCATGGCACTAGCTTCTTCCCCGACCTCCATCTCATCTTGACACACCCCGCAAACATGTCCTTCTTCCTCCACCACCACCTGCGTCAGGCTCTTGATCACCGGATCAACCGTGTCTGCCAAAATCTTCCCTAGTTCAACTGCAACTTTATCCTCGATCTCTGTCAACACTTCATTGAAGTCTCGAGCCGTCGCCTTGGCTCTGGACACGGCCAACTCAAATTTCTTGCGCTCCAAGCTTACCAGTTGGAGTTGCTCGTTGCTTAGTTTCGGCCCCGAGTTCTGCCAACGACGATCGAGAACATGTCCGTTGCCCGGGCTTTCGTTGTCGCCGGAGTGTTCCAGTCCGTCGAGAACCACGGCCGTCGCTCTTGCGATACCAACTTCGTCCATTTCGAGAGAGAGATGGATTTCTTCCAGAGAACGCCACCGGATTAATGATATATATGTCTAGAGAGATTAGAGAGAGAGAGAGAGAGAGAAAAGTTGAGCAGAAAACGAAGGTCTGTGACTGAATGGTTTTTATAGCAAATTTTTTATGGTCCGAAGGTCGGTGACTGAATGGGTTTTATAGCAAATTTTTTTATCATAAATTAAAACTGATTATATTTACGAGTCTGTCCGTGGTTTCTTGTTTCCTTAATGGAATTGGTTTAGTTGCTTATGTTTGGGTCATAGATTTAACAAATGAACATAAACTTATCTCTTATTGGACAAAGCCCAAACTATTCATGAATAGTTTGATTTTTTTAATTAATTCTCACTTTTTTAAATTTATTTTTTTATTTTTTTACGTGCATTTAAAAAAAAATGGTTATCTTTTCCTAAAGAATATATTTGATTTTATTTTAGTTATAATCGGTAAAGTTTAAATTAAGGATGTTACCTGTTTTGATACTATGTTAATAACAATCTACCTTAAAATATATTTGTGATAATGTCAATATACAAAAACATTGTTCATTGTTTACGTCAAATGCTATTGAGCTGAAGTGAAGGACTTGTCGGTTTTTTTCCCGACATAAGATTTAAAAACAAGTAGATTTTTCAAATAAGACGTGGCAGGGAAGGAAATCATGGAACTAATTATGTTCTAACACACCATTTTTCTTTTTTTTTTTTCTTTTTTTGGTGTGCTTTCGTGGTAATTAAAGTAAATAAATAAATTTTCTACCCCAAATTTTAATCCGCAGCAGCTAGATGCTTTTGAACCCCAAAATTTGCTGTTTGAACATATGTATATAAAAAGTGTTCTCCACACCCACCTTTTCAAGCTGGTGATATCATTTGTAATTTCATATATATATCATGTATGTACATATATATTTATATATGAAGTCTTTATATATATATATATATATATATAGATATCACTTTGAATTTTGATTGATTTTCTTACACAAACAAAAATCGGTTCAAAAGACTAAATTTATCAAACAGCCATCAAAATCAAACCTCACCCAGACAAGAACAATACAATTAGATCCAAAAAAATTTCAAAATTGTTGAACAACAAAATTAATTATAAAATAAAATTTTAGAATATTTAGTTTTCTCTTCTTTTCCTGAATTTTCACATTAACCAAACAACCAAGGGAATATGAATTAGAAATGAGAATTTAAATTTTCAATGGATCCCTTTCTTAGGACTTCTCTCATCTGGTATTCAAAAATTAGGTTGCATTAGAATGTGGTGCTAAATAATCCAATTACATAATCACTTTCTTAGCACATTTCACAAATATTTAATTAGGAATAGTTTGGTCATTTTATATATGAAATAATTTTTTTATAAGTCAACACAAAGTCAAAATGATAGTAATATCATTTTACATGGAAAAAGTACTCTAATACCATTAAAAAGTGACATTTGGAGTGTCACTCAAAAACAGAACAACCGTTTATAACATGAGTGATATTTTCAAAAGGTGTCGCCACGTGAAATTTGTTAAAATCTCTGAAACACCTATATGTTTTGTCCTATAATGGCCCAACCAAGTTATATATATAAATTTCGATAATCAATTTTACATCGAATATGGTTGAAGATATAGATTCAATAACTTAAATAACTACAACAGTTCTGAAGTCTCCTTCTAGTACTGCATTTATGAAGCCTCTGTTAGGATAATTTTCGTAAATGATGTTATGTATATATTATGAATCAAAAGCATCTGGAGAAAACAATTACTAACATATATTAACGTACTAGTACTCACAAAATAATAAATAAATAAAATTCCGTAAAACAAAAGACAATAAAATATCGTAAACCAATAACATATTTATATCTATTGAAGTTTTATTTATCTTGAAAATCCATATTATATATATATATATATATATATATATATATATATATTTGGTAAATAAATCCATATAATAGTTGCATGTAGTATATTAGTTACACTCTATATCGTGTAGTAGTTAAGCTGGCTAGATTCTCCGGTAACAACAAAGAGATCTTCTCAATCAGCAAAGACAAAGCTTGGCTAATTGTTGGTACTACCATCACTAAGGCAGCCAAAGAGTTTTTTCATAATGGAAAACTTCCTTCTTGTCCCTAGTTCCCAAGTGTCAGAATCCAACCATTCTCAATGATTTCAGACCAATCAGTTGTTGCAATGTTATCTATAAATGTGTTGCAAAACTCATTACAATGAAAATGCAGCCATCACTTCCATTGATAATAGGGCCAACACAAACTGCCTTTGTCCTTGGAAGAAAAATCACAAATTATGTTCTCCTTACTCAAGAACTAAGGAGGGGATATCATGCCTTTACACCATCTCCTAGGTGTGCGTGGATTAAGGCGTGTATCACAACTCTTTCCTTTACCATAGCCATCAATGGAGAATTCCATGGTCATTTTAACAGTGTTAAGGGGTTAACGCAAGGAGATCCATTGTCTCCTACACTGTTGGTCATCTCCATGGAAATTCTTTTAGGTATCCTCAAAAAGATTATCTCCCAAGCACCTAGGTTTAAATACCATTGGAGATGTAAAGAGGTTGGAATCACACACCTCACATTTACTGATGATCTTCTCCTTTTTTTGCCATGCTGATATCACCTCCATATCCATCCTCAAATCAGCTCTTGATCTCTTCTCCTCATTTTCTGGACTGACCATAAACCCAACAAAAAGCTCAGTTTTCTTTTCAGGCATTGACCATTCAAGTGAGCTTCTATACTCTAGCTTTCTTGGTGTTGGAATTGGTTCACTCCCCATAAAGCACTTTGGTGTCTCCCTTATCTCTACAAGACTCAAAGCTGCAGATTGTAATCTTTTGCTTGAAAAAATCACAGCAAGGATCCACCATCGGTCCTCTAGAAGCCTGTCCTATATTGGAAGACTTGTACTCATCAAATATGTACTTGTATCCACTCAATTGTACTGGTCCGGTATTTTCATATTACCACAGAAGGTGATTAATGACCTTACTGCACTGCTTAGAAGATTTCTCTGGACTGGTTCAGACCTTAAGAAGATTGGTGCTAGGGTTAAATGGTGCAATGTCCGTAAGCCTATCACAAATGGAGGTCCTGGTCTTCCCAATCTTGAAGCTGCAAACACAGATGCAATACTTAAACACATTTGGGAGCTTAGAACTGGTAACAATCAAAGAATTTGGATCATCTGGTGCAAGACTTATCTTATCAAGGATCAATGTTTTTGGCACTCCCCAATCATGCTCATGGAGCTAAAGGAAGATACTACAGCTGAGACCACTTGCGAGGAAACTAATCAAACACAAGGTTGGCAATGGTGCATCCACCCACTTCTGGTATGATTTTTGGCTTGATAGGGCCCCCTCTCCCTATACTATCCCACCTCTATCATCCAACTAGCAGGTATCTCACCCAATGCAATGGTAGATGACTTTATTAATGCTACCACATGGAACTTTCCTCCCACTCTCACTTCCACATTTCCTGAACTAAACAACATCCATCCTTCTAATCCCTCAACACCAGACCAATTTATTTGGACTGCAGGACCCACAGGGAAATACAGCCTTAAACATACCATAGCAGTCATTTCCTAATCCCACACCCCAGGACCATAGTCGAGATTAGTTTGGAACTCCATTGCCATCCCCAAACAGAAACTGATCCGTGGATTACAATCCAATCTAAGCTTCCCACTCTAGACTCCAAATGCATGTCTTATCTTGAATCAACCAATGTATGCCATCTTTGCTCATCCCTCCCCGAATCACACTCCCATTTCTTATTTGACTGTGAATTGTCTCCCTTATTTGGAGATTCATTCAAGACAAAGCAATAACTGGCCACAATTTGTCACTTGGGCTTCTCATCACTGAAATCAATCTAATCCCAGAACTCAAATGTGTCGATTAACCCTTGTCTCCATGGTGTATCATATTTGGCAGGAAAGGAACAATAGGGTTTTCAGAACCTCTCCTTTTTTGCAATCATCTGTGTTGAAGCTCATATGTAATTCAATTGCAGATGCCTTAAGATCTCACAACAATGAAAGCTACTCATAATTAACTATGGAATTGGTCTACTCTCCAGCTGTAGTTCGCTTGCCGCCACTACCTGCAGAACTGTAGGCAAAGGTCAAGCTTTAGTTTGGCAAGAACCAGGCTTGTCACCGGAATTTGATGTTAATTGTTTTGTTGGGACATCCATTCCTAAGATGCAGAGGACTAAGGTGTGACCAACTGTCAAACCAGAAATTGAAATTCGAACCATTACCAATTTCAAGTTTGATAAGTGGCCTAATAGCAGGTCTAAGCTGAAGCAATTTCCTCCATGTCCAAGAGCACTGACTCGTAGTACCAACTCTCAAATACTCATTCGTTTTAGTAGGTAGGTGTTGACCCAAGTGATCCACAAAATGCTTTCTTAAGCCTTGATTATTATCAAAGATGATTCATAATAGTAGTTCTGTTCCATGAGTGTAAGTCGGGTATTCCCAGGCCTCCGGCCCTCTTACGTAGACATTCAGAAGCCCACTTAACTTTTGCTCCATGCTTCTTAAGCTTTGGTCTTGTCCATAAGAAGGCTCTAAAAATGCATGTGAGTTCATTAATAACACTCATTGGTAGTATTGATTTGGTACTCCAGTAGGTTTGAGTACTATGGAAGATAAATATGATGAGTTATACCCTTCTTGCAAAGGAGAGTAGCTTGCTAGACCAGTGTCTTATTTTTGCTGTAACTTTATTAATAAGTGCTTTACAATCCACAACTCTCAGCATGGTAGAGATTCGAGGTACACCTAGGTATCTTATTGGGAGGCAACCTTGCTCAAATCCAGTAAAGTTGAGAATTGCAGATTCAACAGCAGGTGCCACACCAGAAAGGAAGATCTGACTTTTACATTGGTTGACATGAAGTCCAGAGAGGTTAGAGAAAATTTCAGTGGCACTAAGCAATGTTTGCACAGAATGAACACTTCCATGACAAAATAACATCACATCATCAGCAAATATCATGTGAGTGAAAGCTAAATCCTTGCATCTCAAATGGAATTTGAAGAAGTAATCTTGCTTAGGATGGACGATAGTACTTCCATTACAATTACAAATAGTGATGGTAATATGGGATCACCTTGCCTTAGCCCCTTAGCTCCTTTACAAAAAGTCAAAGTGCGTAACTCTGATGAAAATGTCAGCTCGATACCTTGCTAAGTCTACCACATCCATCTTGGACATCAAGGATTGCAAATCACAGATTGTACAACTAAGATTTTTTATTTATTTATTTTATTTTTAATAAAGGCAATTGTAATTGTATAACTAAGAGAGCTTAAAGGTGTGTGTCTGAGGATAAGGAAATCGATGGAATGAAAATTTGAGACTTGGCATATAAGGTTGGGAATCCACATGAATTAGGGGGATAATGTTGAGAATAGAGACTTGACGTATAAGGGAGGGAAGCCAAGTCCAAAGGACAATCAAATATTGAAATCACTCTAGTGTGGTGTGATGCTCAATTAAGAAAGTTAGGAGTTGATTCCTCTACAGTTGCGTTTTTTATTTTTTATGTTTTTATGATTGTATTATAAGTGTTAACAATTATTTATACTAAAAGTTTAAACCATTATAGATGGTGTAACTTTTCATATTTAAATTTATATGTATATGACTTTTTAAATTTAAAATGTGTTACAATTTTAATTGGTAAAATTTTAACCAAGTGTGGATACCTTGTTAACTACATTCTACTTTGAATATTATTTGTGACATTTACAAAAACATTAATCCACTCAACGCTTTGCATTGAACTCGAGAATTTACTCAACTTTATTTGCGACTCTGTCAATTTACAAAAACATTGATCATTATTGTTGGAACGTAAGATGGAAGAAAAAAGGGAATTTGAATTTCCGCAGCAGTTATTTGTTTTTACTGTAGGGCACCTTAATCTAAATTATACTTTACAAAATTTCCTTACCTAAGAATAAAAAAACACACACACAATAAATAAAAATAAAATATAAAAAAAAGCCAAAAACAAGCAAACATTTTATGCATTTGAATTTTCGACCATAGAAATGCCAAGTGCAGTCTTACATATATATATATATATATATATATACACACAGACACATATGCATGGTAGCTATCTTTCAACAATTTGTGAACTCTATTGTGGGGTACATAATACTATAATACTCTTTCGACAATGGACTAAATACAGAGGATAGTGCATTATTGCATTATTCATTATTGACTGAGAAAACAAATGTGGTATTAGAGTTTTTATATGATGATATTAGGGCTGCAATTCGGGCGGGTTGAGCGGGTTTGAGGTATAACTTAAGCCTAATTCATCATAGGACATGCTAAACCCAAGCCCAACCCTAACCCTATCCTCAACCTTAACTACTCAACTCAAGCCCAACCCATCCTTCTACTTTTAAATTCGGGCTTGCAACTCGGGCTTAGATTCAGGGTAAAAAGGTCGGGTTAATTCAGGTTACTCATATGGTTAATCCTTATATCGAAATTTTAATATAATTTTAAATTAATTTTAAATTAAATTACTCATAAATAAGAAAAAGTTTAAAGACTTTTTTTTGTAAATTTTTAATAAATTACAAACAAATTTTTTAAAAAATAATTCTTATAAATGTTAACATACAATAAGTTAGGATTTAACAAAAGAAGTTGAAAAGAAAAAAAGTAATCATAGTTTAAATATTATATATAATGTATTTAAAAGTAAAAATATATATATAAATAATATTATAATTCGGGTTCGGATTGACTCGAGTTGCTAGCACTTCAACCCAAACCCAACCTAATTAAATTTGGGTTGAGATTTTTCAATCCAAACCCAACCTTAATTGTAAAAGTGATTGTCCAAGTCCGTAAAAAATCGGGCTGGACTCGGGTTGGGTTCGGGTTACCCAACCCAAGTTGCACCCCTAGATGATATAGATACAACTCTAAAATACTTTATTTTTTTTTTTTTAATTTACTTCTTGGTTAGGAAAAATATAAGATCACTTTCACTCTTAAAAAAAAAAAAATTTGATGATTTGATTTTGAAGACATCAAGGACAAAGGGGGTGTAGATCACCAACAAGGTTTACTTCTGTATTGTTAAACTTGCAATTTATATATTTATTATTATTCAAATTGAAATAATTGTTGAAAAAAATTAATTATTTAATAATAGTTTTTCCTTACCACTTCTTTATTTATATTTAGCTTATTATTTTCTCTTATCTATACATGTTATTTCTTACTACTTTTAAACTGTAGGGCGAATTGAAAAAAAAAACCCTTAACTTGTAGCCATTTGCAAGAAACCCCCTTTTGAATTTTTTTAGCACAAAGACCCTCTCAACTAGGGGTGCAACTTAGGTTGAATAACCCAAACCCAATCCGAGCCCAGTCAGAATTTTCTCGGGCTTGGGCAATCATTTTTACAATTAGGGTTGGGCTTGGGTTGAAAAATCTCAACTCGAATTTAATTAAGATTGGGTTCGGGTTAAAGTGTTATCAACCTGAGCCAACCCGAACCCGAATTCTAATATTATTTTCATATATATTTTTACTTTTAAATACATTATATACAATATTTAAACTATGATTTTTTTTTTCTTTTCAACTTCTTTTGTTAAATTTTAACTTATTGTATGTTAACATTTAGGAGAATTAATTTTCTAAAAATTTGTTTTTAATTTAATAAAAATTTACAAATAAGTCTTTAAACTTTTTTCTTATTTAAGAGTAATTTAACTTAAATCTAATACAAGATCATATTAAATTTTTAGTGTAAGAATTAGCTATATGAGTAACCCGAATTAACCCGAACTTTTTATCCGAAATCTAAACCCGAGTTGTAAGCCAGAATTTAAAAATAGAAGGATGGATTGGGCTTGGATTGAGTAATTAAGGTTAAGAATAGGGTTATGATTGGGCTTGGGTTTAACATTTCATATAATAGGTTGGGCTTAAGTTATACTTCAAACCTGTTCGAGTTGCAGCCTACTCTCAACTATCTAGAGGGGTGCTTAGCCATTTTTTGAGACAAATTTGCCCCTTACTTCTTTACTTATCTTTTTTTAGTTTTTTGCATCACACCATTCACTAAATTTACTCTCACATTTTAAATCTTATTATTATTTTCTTCTTCACTTAGATGTGAAATAAGATAAAACTAAATATGATAAGAATTAATTAAGAAAAATAAATATATAAATATGAGACGAATTCGATTCCATTGTACTTTTGGCTCCCTCAAATATATTTCATTGTTGTTAATGATAAAAAAAAATTTTAAAAAATCATAAATTGTGGCCGGTGCG